AAAAAATGAAAATTTATAAATAGAAAAAATAAAAATAAAAAAAAATAAAAATAATATATACATATAGGTGTATACAAAAAGTGGCACAATAATACACTCTTGAGATAAATAAACAAAATATAATTTTAAAATTATTGGATTAAATTTGTAAACAATTAAAATTCGATACAGTGGCGTCGTCGCTATCAATTTGTGGGGGCCTGCTAGAGTGAATTTTGTTTCACATATAATTTCAGAAATAATTTGAATAAACTTGTAAACAAATAAAAGTTTCTCTCCTCAGTGACGTCATAAATATTAACTTGAGAGGGCTGTTCTTTTATATCATATTTTGAATATAATTTGAAAATTCGTTAATGTAATTTTTTAACAATTAACAGTGTGAACTTTTCTGTAAATATTTTTATAAATATTTCCCAATTTCGAAACGCCCCTGGCTGCGCTGCTGTTTATATGTTAAGAGCAAATGACCTCGACTTGTGGTTGCTGCCGTGCACATCATTTAACCAGATATGTTTGTGCCCTCTCATAATTTCTGTGGTAAAATAGTTTTTAAACAGGTATTCAGCATATGTTGGAACGATTACAAGCCGAACCGCAGTTCGCTTAGAAAACTATTTAGCTTTCATCTTTTAATAAAAATTAATTGAGCTCATTAAAAGAAAAATTGGTTGTAAAAAATATTTTTTTTTTTTTCATTATTGTTATTTAATTTAATTTGTTTTTTGTAGAGAGTATTTGTGCTTTTATATAGAGAGCATATATTCTATAATTTATCTAGCATATAAATGCTCTTGTTAGTCACTTTAATTAGCTAAACGATAGTTGCGTGTCTTTCCGGTATGATTTGCGACTTTGACTTTGAAAAATATTAGAAACATATGAAATTGAGCAAAATAGTTGATGTCTACGCCGCGAACATTCGTTGATTTGATTTGTTAGATTTGCTTTTAAATTTGGCAGCAAGGCCAGAGCAAAAAAAAAAAAAAAAAAAAAAAAAAAAAAAAACAAAAAGAAATGAAGAAAAGCGAATATGTTGCACAGCTTAGCGGTCAATGTAGCTGCGTGTGTTTGTGTTCGTGTGTGTGTGTGCGTGCTTGGTTTGTTTGCTACACGCCAATATAATGGGGCAAATTGCAAACAGGCCAGACATCGACCCACAGCTATAAAGCTACTTACTAGTTAATGACAACAATCCGCAGATCCCCGCAACAGCGGCACACAAAAGCGCTTACGTTTTTATTGCCCGGCAACCGCAGATGTTGTCATCGGGATTTGGTCAGGAGCTGGATGACAATCGCCGTATCATAATTCATTGTTCATTGAGATTGAGTGTTGCGATCGTAAACGCATCGCCAGCTACAAGTGTTATTGATATTCAAAGTAAATAGCGCATACGACCTGTATGACGGCGCATCAAAACAAAAATGCCCAAGCATACAATTATGTGCAACGGATCAATGGAATACAATGTTATTTTATGGTGCAAACAAGTATACACAGATATTGATTCAGTTTCAGCATATGAATGAGGTTGACGCTCGCTTATGGCCATTCATAGCAGACGAAAGTATTTAAATGCTGGGCCATGGCCATAAGAGCCCTGAGGATATAAACGAAATGAGAGCTCGAAATCAATATGTGAGCATTTAGTGAGGCTCCTTTATGCACGATGATGAGTGCTCATGGGGAATTGTTATGATAATGAGTCGCTATGATTGACATTCCTTAATATATTCTCCATATTCGATAATCAGGATTTTTATATCAATTATTCAATAGACTCTTTTCGTACTGCTCAAAAGGCAAGTGCACAGAAGTCTCAAATGAAGCCATTTAGCATTAATTTTATTTACCTTTTCATATTATTAGACTCGAGCCGCCTCAGGGTTTAAGCACGTGCTATTTTACGCTGTAAGCAACAAAACAAAACACCTAACCCACTAAACCATTTCCAGTAGCTTAGCAGTACTCACATATATACTTAACATGGGTGTACATGTGTGTGTGTGTGTGTGCGTGTCTGTGTGTTTATATTGTTTGTACTTGTGGCTTTCGTATCGTATTCCGCATATTGTTCCCCAACACTCGTCACTGACCATGAATATGAGTTTTTCTTTCGCTCCGTTTGCAGTTATTTTTAGTTAAGCATCGCTTATCACTCACTCCCGCTATAGGTGGGCGGCACACCAGCTATCCCCATTGGTATTGCCACTGTCTTGGCTGTTCATAACTGTCAGCCCCAAATGGCATTTATGATGCTTGACTTGTGTTTATAAGACATATTTAACAGGGTCTCGGGTACTCTTCAACTTGGAGTTGCTTTGAATATTGCAAATCGAATGTACTAGAAAATGAAATGATTTAAAAAATTCTAATTTAATATATTAATATTTTTGTATATATCGAGTCGTTTGTTTATTTTTTTTTTTCAAAATATTAATCGATTTAAATACAAAACCAAAAAATAAATAAATAATTATTGTATGATTGTATATAATATTGTATAGAAATATATTGAAAATAAATCAACA